CCGCTTGCAAAATCCAACAAGAGAAAACCTTCGAGGAATTTTAATAAGTCCAAGAAGAAGACCAAAGGAGGGTATTTTGTATGTGGAAAATCTGAACACTATGCAAAGGATTGTAGACACCAGAAATGAAATAACTCCGAAGGTAAAATAAATTACATCCAAGAGGACAAAATTGTGGCCACAATAATCGAAATAAGTGCGATCAAAGGAAAGGTTCTTGGGTGGTGGTATGATACTTGTGCTACCATACACGTATCACATGATAGGTCTTTATTCAAAACATATCATGAAGTGGATGGAGACCAAGAGATTCAAATGGACAACGAAGTTCGACTCAAGGTTATTGGAAAAGGAAATGTCAATATCATCTTCACTTTCGGAAAAATCGTTATCCTTACTAATGTACTACATGTTATGAAAATGAATAAGAACTTAGTGAGTTACCTATTAGGAAAACTGGGCATCAGATGTGTGTATGAATCCGATAAACTTGTATTATCCCTTAAAAGGAAAATTTGTTTGAAAATGCTATTCTTGTGAAGGAACGGTCAAATTATGTGCGGTTGACAATGTAATAAATAAACTTCATTTTGATTATTCCCTTAATTTATTTTCATTATGGCATGCTAGATTAGGCCATATAGGTAAAAGTATTATGAAACGATTGAAAAAATATTACTTGATTTCATATAACGAAAATAATGAATACAAATGCAAAACATGTGTGGAATTTAAGATGGTTAAAAGACCTTATCAAAGTGTAAAAAGAACGCCTAGCATCTTAGAACTCATTTATACAAATATATGTGAAATGAATGGCATGTTGACTAGGGACGAAAATAGGTATTTTATTACTTTCATTGATGACTTCTCTAGACACACATGTGTACTTGATAAAACATAAAAATGAGGCATTTAATATGTTTAAAGTGTATAAAAATGAAGTTGAAAACCATCATGAAAGAAAATAAAGACGCTAAGAAGTGATAGAGGTGGTGAATACTTTTCTAACAATTTTAACTTGTTTTGTGAACAACATGGCATAATTCACCAATATTTTGCACCTAGGACATCCAAACAAAATGGTTTGGCTGAAAGAAAAAATAGAACCTTAGTAGAAATGATTAATGTCATGCTAATATATGCTAAGTTGTCATTTAATTTGTGTGGCGAAGCTTTGTTAAATGCATGTAGGATACTTATTAGGATTCCTTCAAAACATGCAAAGATTTTTCCTTATGAATTGTAAAAAGGAAGAAAATCGAACATTGGATACTTCAAAGTTAGGGGTGTCTAACTTATTGCAAGAACACGAACTCTAATAGGACCAAATTAGGTCCAAGAGGTATTAAATGTGCTTTCGTTGGATATGCTAACAATAGCAAATCTTACAAATTACTAAACTTGGAGACCAATGTGATTATCAAATCAAGTGATGTAGAGTTCTTTGATGATTCGTTATCTTCAGATGATGAATTGAGGGAAAATCTTGAAAATATCCATAGCTCAAGTGAAACATATGATGAAATGTCTTCCAAAGATATTGATGAGTCTTGTGAATCACAAAGAAACAAGAGAACTCGAATTGAAAAATCTTTAGGACCGGATGAAATTGATTCTCAACTTATCTCATTTTATTTAGTAGAAGGAAATGAGTTGAATGTTGTAAGAACAATTCCTTTTGTTCTACAAGTGAAAATCGACCCTAAAACCAATAAAGAAGCTATGGCTTCTCGTGATAGCATTTTCTAAAAAGATGCAATTAAAGATGAAATGGATTCGATAATGTCTAATAAAACTTGAAAACTTGTTGATCTACCCCCGGGATCCAAACCTATTTGATGTAGATGTGTATTTAGTAGAAAATATAATGTTGATGGTTCTCTAAATACCTTTAAGTCTAGATTAGTAGCCAAAGGATATCGACAAAATGAAGGAATTGACTAGTTTGACACTTATGCACCTGTAGCTAGAATAACATCAATTAGGATATTATTCGCATTGGCTTCAATATATGACTTGTATATTCATCAAATGGATGTCAAAACGGCATTCTTAACTGGACATATCGACGAGGAGATCTATATGGAGCAACCCAAAAAGTTCGTTCTACCTGAAAATGAACATAAGGTATGCAAGTTAGTAAAATCATTATATAGTTTGAAGCAGACACCTAAGAAATGATATGAGAAGTTTGACTTAACAATAATATCATTCGGATTTAAATATAATAGTGTGATAGATGTTTATATTCTAAAGTGTATGATGATTATGTAACATTTATATGTTTTTATGTTGGTGACATGTTAATTATAAATAATCACATGGACGGTATAAAAGAAACGAAGATGTTTGTATCTTCTACATTCAAGATGTAGAATCTTGGACATGTGGATACCATTTTGGGTATCAAAGTCACAAAGACTATTGGGGGTTATCACCTAAGTCAATCACATTATATTCAGAATGTGACAAACATGTTCAAACACTTGAACATAAAAGAATATAGTACCCCAATTGATCCAAGTTCAAAACTCGTGAAGAATGATGGCAGAGCGATTGCTCAATTGGAATATGTTAATGCTATTGGAAGTGTTATGTATGCAGTGCAATGCACATAATCGGATATAGCACATGCAATTAGTAAACTTAGTAGATTTACTAGCAATCCAAGCAATGATCATTGGAGAGTCATTGAGAGAGTTCTTGGATACTTAAAAAAAAATCAAGAACTTAGATCTACAATATGATAAATTTTCGACGGTATTGGAAGGATTTACCGATGCTAGTTGGATATCTAGTACGAGTGAAAGTAAATCCACATCGGGTTAAGTGTTCACTCTAGGAGGGGGTGCTGTTTTTTAGAAATCAAAGAAACAAATATGCATGACACACTCGACTATGGAATTCGAATTTGTAACACTATTGGATACTAGGAAAGAGGTTGAGTGGCTTAAAGATCTCTTTTATGAAATACCTTTGGGATCGAAGAATATTTCTTCAATACCTATCATGTGTGAAGTCAAGCCACATTAGCAAAAACATACAATGAAGTATACAATGAAAAGTCTAGACATATGAGTTTAAGACATGACGACATAAGGAAATTAATAAAAAATGGAGTAATTTCCCTATATTAAGTAAGGTCAATTGAGAATTTAGCGGATCCTTTGACTAAAAAGATCCACCAATGACGACAATCTTACTTGTCAGTACTCAAAAGGTAATCCACGGGTTCAAAGGGTAACAATAAGTCATTTGATATGTGGATAGTTGCAGCATTATTTAAATCCGCAATAACCCTATCCTAATTAAATAATGTTAGTTGTTACTGAAGTGAGGGTTGAGTTTAAAACTCTTGATGAAGTTTAGTGCTAAAATACTATTATCTCTAAAAGTAATAAAGATACTAGAAGAATTTCACCTAAATAAATTTCAAGGTGGTGTCGCCTCAATAGAGAGTTGGAGTTTCTCTTTTAAAAGTTCGTTGAATAGGATGAGCGCAAGGCCATAAAGCGCTAAGCGAGTTGAGAAAGTTAAGAACACGTGATACTTATGTATATGTTCTTACCGGTATTGTAATAAGGAATAATTGGATCAAAACTTACATGCTACCTCTAATTCCGACTTTACTTTGTTTGAATTACACTATGGTTAGATTCAAATTGAAAAATATCTAATCCTTATACGTAAGTGTCGTCATTTTGAATATGTTATCGTATTGATTTTGAACAAATGGGGGATTGTTAAATATTTGTTCAAAATCAATGGAATGATAATGGACTAATTGTTCGGCTCAATTTTAGAATTGGTAGAATAAAAAAAAATTGAAAAATACAAAATTTGATTTTTCGCCTATGCGTACGCACATGCTTAATTTTGTGCATACACGAATTTGCTTTTACTATGTGTACGTAAGGTTTATACTATGCGTACACATAGTGGTAAAAAATAGCCGTTGGGTAATTTTTCAATTTGATTGAAACCTATAAATAGATGATGATTGATCAAAACAAATATATTAGAAACATTATCTTGCAATCTATATTTTGTTCCAAAAATAATCAAGTCCCGATTTACATTCATATTCATTCTATCTTCGTGTTCTTCATGTATTGGAAGAATTTCACTTTCAGCTTTAGTGAAATTCTTTACAAGACTTGTTACAATCATTCAAACCATTTGCTAGAATATCCTTAAGCATCTCATAAACACCAAAGAGGGGTCAAATAACATTTGAGAACAGCGATCCCACGTTCAAACCTTCACATTTGTTGTTACAATTTTTTAGTTTTGTTCCTATTGTTGCCATAATTCTTGTAAATTTCCTTTTTGTGTCTTCTTCATCCCTCCAACATTTACAACAGTTTAAAATACATTAAGATTTTTCATCTAATCATCTACTATCACATGCAATTATGTTAAACTTTCCGTCAATTTAATTCCAAAACTAATACATAACGTTTACTTTAATGAACACTACTGAGTTTGCCGTTTAAGCAATAAAATTTTGAACATTGACTTTAAATAAAAAAATTTTTTTTTTTTAAAAAAGGTCGATAAAAACACCACTCCCATAAGAAGTTTTATACGTTAAGATTTGGACATAATAAAATAAGAAAACTCATAATCCATGTCCTCCATTAATCCTTTTCGGTCTAGCACATCAGACAACTTTCCCATGTAATTATCAAGACGAGAGAATTACAAAATGAAGAAACCGAATAGCTGCTTCAATAGACCACTAAACCACGTTGCTTAATTTAAGAAATACATCATTTCTCAATGTATATTTTTAAGTTCAAGCATGAAAAACATGTTGTTCGTGGTGGCTAAAAAAAAAAAAATCACAAATTCAATCTCTTCTTAGAAGAAGATATAAAATTCGTAAGTTCAGTTCGATTAAAAAAAAAAAAAAATGAGCATATTTTTGGATGGGAAGGACAGAAAAAACACACAGGCAGAGTCCAAACAAAAATGTCACGCCAACAACAAAGCAATTAATCTAAGGCTTTTAAGCTCCTTGCTTATATTAACAATCCTCATTCTGTATCAGTATCAACAGATCATATCAAGAAATTCCCTCCGACTGCATTTTTAATGGGAAAATTGTAATGCGTCAAATTGGGCGACTGTAAATATGAATGTAGTACAAAACTGATAACATTCTTCTTTGCTCTATCAACGCCAACTGCGCCACCTCAAGGAGAAAACTTTGGCCAGTTTTAAACTGAACCCTTTGATCTCAATTTTCGCTGGCTGAATAGCTACCAGCACAGGAAATTACAACAGCAAAGGTCCGATGCTGCGACAATGCTCATCTCATCATCAACATATAATCAAACATTATCATCACGAAAGCACAGAACCACAGTCCCACCATCTCTCTGGAAACTGCAGGATTTATCTTTATTATAACCCTTAGAAGTAATCTCAAATGACAAACATATAATGAGAACAGTGAATTTGATACTTGTCAAAAACTCACAGAAACATCAACTATTGTTGGAGCGAGTACTAACATTTTAATACTAGGCTTATAAGTTTCAAATAATTTAAAACTTGAACATGAGAACTGCACATCATACCTGTTTGCTTAAGATCTGGGTGATTGATGCTCTCCGCTAAAAGATTTGAGACGCTCAATTAAGTTGGCCTTCAGTAACTCAGGAATTTTTGAAATAAACTTAGGCTTCGCACTTGAAATCAAAAACCTCCTGCAGTCACACCATGTACATTAATTGGAATGTCCAAGTTGGATAGTAGGGGAAGGAGAATAGAAAGATTTTTGGGAAAATACACGTGTAATTCACTCAATCATGAACTACTGCAACCAAATTAATTTTATCGAAGAATATGATATCAGGCAATAACAGTATGAAGCTCCATCACCGATGGTATCCAGGTGACAAACTAAAAGTCTCTTGATCATTCAAAATTGATCTAAAAGGTAATTCAAACTGCAAAATGTTAATGGCTGAATCAACAATTATCTTCCTCCTTTTTTTCACTATGATAAATAATTATTACCTTCAACATGATAAATGATACAATCGGATTGGTTATGTGTTCAAAAAAGCTAAACATCGAACAAATACAGGTGCATCGTGAATTGAACATGACAACAAAACATCTTCAAAAATACAAGCACAACATCTTGGAAAAAAATACAAATGTAATTCGTCCTTAAAATTTATGAATCAAGGCATGTAACAGATTGGAAAAAGGGTCCACAAAACGGCGATTTAAATTGCAGGGACGAATTCATGTAAGGAAAAAAGACGAGTTGAATGAAAATAAGAGATATGCTAAGGCACCCTTTTAATGTGTTTCTTTAAACAGAGAAAACATGAAACAAGCAAGAAAGTTAAACATGAAATTTGGATGACTTCTGAAGTTGATAAAGCATTAAAAGGGAAAATGATAACTCCAAAAGTTAATCAGAAATTATAAGAAGATTTTGATTGATCAAATTTGTTCAAAAAGTGTATGTATGTTTCTTGAAAGTATAATGATTTCGACTTTATGACCTAGTACGGCTCGATAACCTTCTATGATAAAAGAGGAACATTTTGAGTGATTTTTTACATAATGATGAGCAGAATAGCATTAAGAACTAAAATGAACAATGTAATAGCAACAATTGCAACAATATTTACTTCCAATGTCCTTGTTTTTATTATTTTGCAATTCACTATGGATTTAATCTCATAAAGAAAGGTAAATCTTTTGCATGTAAATACAATAAATGAACCTCACAATGAACTAATCGATACAATATCATGACTATCAATATCATTCAAGCATTAACGTGAAGGGAAAATGATAACTCTTTTGAGTAATTGAGAAATATTAGATATTTCTAAATTGATCGAACTTGTTCAAAGTGAAGCTAGGTTTCTTAAAGTTCCAATATGTGGACTACATGGGCAAAGTAATTGAGAAATATTACATATTTCTAAATTGATCGAACTTGTTCAAAGTGAAGCTAGGTTTCTTAAAGTTCCAATATGTGGACTACATGGGCGGGCTTATTGAATGGCGTTATCATCCTTCATGCATCAAAGGGAAAATTTGAATAAAATATTTCAAGTAATGACAAGTGGAAAAGGAGTAGGAACTGTTGACTTCGAAATCTAACAAGACACATGACCAATAGATTCCGACTCTTTCCATCCATGCATAACTTTCGTGCACACTTGGACGAAGCGTTAGATGCGAGTGGCCATATCTCCGACAGTGGATGAGGCGGCTACGGACACTCCGATGTTCAAATCAATCAATGGTGGAAGATATTTTTAAGTGTACAAGTGATAATGGATGTGAGTAATAGATCCAAGTTGAAGAGAGAATACCAAGCACTATAATGTAGATATGTATAATTGCATTACCTTTGGAAGACACTACGTGCAAGCTTTTATATTAGAAGCGATGTCCATTGAATGTCTGACAAGTGGCCTCATCCCAACAGCTCATGGGTCAGACTCAACAAGTATCAATCCTAGTTGTCCCAGACGTGGTCAATGACCTGAAAAGCAGCCACCCTACATTATAGGCCTATCATCTAAAAAGTAGAATGTAAAGTCAATTGAAAGCTCTTATCGTAGAGCTGCCAAATCTATCGATCGTATGGAATATTTTCGTACGAAAGACTCTTGACTGAAGCAACATTTGTTGAAGCTACCCATGAGCAAAGGTTTATCACTTCGAAAATACACTGCAACAACTTGTGATGCCTTACCTTAGACATGACACTTCGAATTTGTCGTGTAGCTTCGAAGAAGACACCTAAATCACCTTACCCTTCTGCCTAATTGCTTCGGCCTAAGCTTAGGAAGGTGAGGTAATGTAGGGTGTTACGTCAATTGAATTCACTTTCAGAGGGCTGTCTTGCTTTGGATGCCTGATCCAGCAACAAGGGATGCTACTATAGTTAGGAGTGCTTTGAGCGGGGACATAATTGATCTTAAAGCTGCTACTGAAGTAATATGTTCACGGACTTCATCCCAGATACAACACTTTAAACAAATTTACTATGCACGGTTTCATGCTTATCTAGAGCATGATATTGAAAATCAAGCATCTGGCGATCACCGAAAGGTTCTTTCTATTTCTCACTCCCGCACGCACACTCACACTCAAAAGTGAACAAGTTTTGATGTAGTACAAACGTGTCAATCTTTTTCAGTTCTGTTCAGAAGATTTCTCTGTTTTACTAAGTAAATCTAAAACTGCATTTTTAGAGATTGGATTCGTTATATGCATTACCATAATACAAGTTTCTGACATTATATTTGAGTCACATGACATGGTGATTACTTTGTTAAGAGTCTTAGACTTGAAACTATCAGAACAAAAGGAGCTGCATCTTTTAACATCTATTTCTCTTGATGGTTAAGGATTTTAATTTCCCCTTTTTTGGTCGGAGATGCTAACATAATTTAAATGTTCGAAAGAATTCTATGCAGGCTCACATTTATTCCCTATCGTCAAAGAACCATTAGGCTGTTTTTTGGTAACTTAAAAATAGGGTCAACTAAATATAACCTTTCAAAGATGTATGTTTATTTTTTTTTATAAAAGTTTTAGAAATTGGTATCAGTTTGGCTTCATACCTTCATAAGTTATTTTATGTTGTACAAACATTAGAAATGATTTTACTCACTTTAGGAAAAATGTATTTGTCATATTATTTTAGTAAAATGTTAAAATATTTTCTTTCTGGCTAAAACAAAGATTACCTGGTGATAGGACACCCCTCTGGGCTGCACAAACTTTTGTAGAACAGATTTTGAAATCTGGTGTGGTGTTTTTCTAAATTTTATAATAGCAGGAACCTCGAGACTCTAATAATCTTTTAAAAGTAAAATTTGGCAAGAGTTTGAAAATTAAAAATGTTTCAAAAAGAATCATATCTGAAGGCTGAAACTCGCACTGATGAATGGAGGTGGTCGGATGGAAAACATAACTTCAAGAAGCTAATTTACTGCTGGAATAATATTTTTCAAAACTAACGAAAGGAAAGGTAGAAGACCTTATATAGACCCAGAAGACGAATCCTAATTTGAAAAAGAATGGAGTGCCTTCTTGAGAAACCTAGACCTTTATGACTAAAACTAGTCATAGATGAGAAAGGACAACTCAAAAACATGATTTGCCGTCTATTAATACCTAATAATCTGGTTAAACCTTCAATGAGAATGTTTCGGAATTGCAAAGTACCCTTGACTTGACAAACTAAAGAAAACTTCTACTCTGCAAGCTAAGAATTAAACATGAAAAGTGATGTAGGATAAATAAGAAAGAAAGAAGAAGGAACGGGGAGGAGAAACAGAGAGAAGGGAGAAGAAACCAGGGGAAGAAAGGGGAGGGAGAAAACGGCTGCAAGCCAAACAATATTTCAATTCTAATTCATCATTAACTGTCTCAAATGAGAAACAAAACAGAAATAAATAACAGAACACAAACCCTAAAGAGAAGGGTTTGGGCCAAACCCACTAAACAAGCCCAATAACGAAAATATAAACAATAGTCCAAATAAAATATAACTAAGAGTCCAAATAGAAAATAAATAATAAATGGATGTCCGCATCAACTCTCCCGGGGTGGGAGAAAAACTCGACCCCGTCGAGTAGATAAAGTAGAATGTTGCACTGAATCTGATGCGAAAAGCTCCAAGTCATGTCATGGGGGACGATCTTTCTCGATGACCAAATACCGAAACTCCACAAATGATAATAAGGATAGTTGTAGTTTATCCTCAAGGATATGATCCAACCAAGGAGGACGATCTTTCTTTGTAATCACATATCGATACTGAACTCCCAATAGTAAAAATTCATGCCACTCATCCCCAAAATCTTCCTCATTGGTCAACACAACCTGTTTATCTAAAATAGCATCAATTACGTCTTTGTGTGCTGTGACATGTGTCATTGGAGTGAGAATGGTAATATATTTAGGTTGGGGATCCACATAAGGAAGTAGAAAATGATCATCAAGGAAATTAAAAAGGCCTTTGTAAGTAACTAAGTCTTCAATATGTAAAATAGAGAGGTGGCCAAAATGTGATGAAAAATTAATGACATGTGCGTATGGACCAACATGCTTTAAAACTTTAAGAGGACCAGCACTACCGGCTTGCAATATAACATAATC